CGTAACTTCTGAATAGCCCCCTTTCAAGATGATCAGGTGTTTTCCCGAACACTTCTTGAGGATGCACTGAAGCCTCATTAAACTGGTACTTTCCATCTGAGAAGTATTTCTAAAAATGAAGAAAAGAAAATACGATAATTTTTAAATTTCCTTGTTATTGCGGTGATTGTGTATATATTGAAAGTCTGTGCGTAAGTGTTTTTTACACTTTCTAAATTTAAATTTAGAATCAATTTTAGTCATATAAAACGAAAGTGCATCATCTCAAGTTGCTACATCACGTTATGAATGATGAAATCATAAGGAAAGAAGAAATAGATATCCCCATCGAAATTTGTAAAAAAGCTGAATATTTATTTTGTATTGAGTTTCATCTGTTCTTAATATTAAATTAAAAATAATTTCTCAAATAATTCATCTGGTGTTATCAACCATTGTGTAACGTTATTACACATCTTTTATCAGTTGTTACACTCGATTAAGATGTAAGTAGCATATGTATATTAGGGGTAGATTATCAAGCCATATGGTGCACAGGATTATCTTGAAATGAATGTTGATACCAATACTTACCAGTTTATGATACATTGGTGGAAATTTTTAGATTGGAAGAAGGTTTTGAAGATGATGAACACTCCATAAAATGAATTCGGGTCATCTGAGGGACATATAGATATCAGAAAAAATGAACTGGCCTAAAATGTACTTATTCTAGGTAAAGATTAGAAGCGACTTCAGATATACTGTTAAAACGACCTACAAAATATCCACTATCCTTTTCTCATGAATTCCATACGTGTGTTTGAAATTTACCTATATGTTAAGGATTCACATTTTTAGCGTCTTATGGTACTTTATAGGGTTCATTAACATTAATAGTTACATGTTTGCGTAAGTTTAGGGGGTTAGATTTTGACAGAACACGTACGCAGTTGATTCGATATTGCGACGACGATATTTTGCGTTTGCAAAATCCCTCCTTATGACCAATTACTTTATATTTTGCTCATTTATGGTTATAGAATAGGCAGAAACGGGAGTAATGCCATGCCTCACAGTTCAGCAACTAGATTGGGATCTGACTTTATTTTGCTTAAAATTAAAATCTGAGTCTGACGATGATTGCAATCCGCATATAAACATGAGACAATTAAATTGTTCGTCAGAAAGTGAATGCAACTTAAAAATTTCTCATTGCTTATTAACAAATGTTGCATATGAAATAAAATCATCTTCAGGTCGCTGAACAATTTCAAGACAAATATATCACAAGTTAAAGAAGTTTGAGTAGCGAAATTTTCTGTAGGTTTTTTACTGTAGTATAAAGAGAAGAAGCACAAAGTTGTGAGACAGAACATCAAGTTCCACCACAGCGGCGATGTAATACACGATAACCTCTCCTCGTGGCTACTTCAGCGAGAAGGTATGTACGTGTGTACTCAACTATCCCATAGAATATTAATCAATTTCTTGGCCGATGATATGCATTTGGCCTTCAGGTCGTCATCAAGTGACCATTTCCTTTGGCTACTTCAAACACATACCTTTTGAGGAACTTGAAAACAAATGGATTTGTAATGTTCTGTGTGCCCTGGATTATAGATGAATTCCACGCGTAATAAATATTTGATCAACTTCTCTTTGTTTACTTACACTGTCAATCCTTTCAGTGTGTAGTGACAATTGTTCAGTGCCTATTGAGATCACTAATCGACCTAAATTTGACAACTGTTGAAAACGTGGGAGCACTGAACAGCCGTTTCACCGCAGTGAGAAATTGTGACCAGTGTGAGTAATGTATACGCAAAAGGTAGTGCAAGATGGTCGCGCAATGTCGCTAATAGCTTGAAGTTATACTTGCACATCATTGAATCACGACTCAGGGGTCTAGGGGTTAAGTATTTTCTTGCTAAAACTGGGTTCTGTTTCCGGTCTCGAGGTTGTGGATACGCACTTCGAGAGTTCTATACTAGGACGAAACGCTCATATGGTGCTCCCAAGTTTTCGGTGGTTGTCTAACTTAGGTTCGTGATTTGAATAACAATCCTTCCAGGTGACGCAACTTTCATTGCTTTGTGAAAAAGTAGAAGAGAATTACCTCAGAACCGCTACTGGCTCATATTGTGAGTCATATCTGCTAACGTCTTAACCCACTGTGTTGCACCATCTCTCAGACCCCAACCAGGAGGTTGTGATGGACTGAGAGATGTCAATCCTGTACAGATCTCTTTCATACCTCGGGACCATGCCACATAAACCAACCGCTTCTCCACTTTTTTCAATCGGTCCAAACGTCCCAGAAATAGAGCACAGTTTGGATACTCGTATCAAATGTCCGAGCCATCGTGGTCGATGTTTCAGGATGGTGAAGCCAATTGAAGTCATTTTGCCCGAACATACGTTGCCAAACCTCTGCATTAATAACATGGTGTTGTGTTTATACGTAGAACGATCTCACCAGTCACGCCACCACTAGCACTCGTACAACTAATCAGATACACGAACTTTCTGATTGCTTCTAATTGTTTATCAATAGGACTGAGTGCAGACACAGGCGGCTGTCTATCTTGCAAAAGTACTTGCACTTAGAAGGCCCAAAGCACATGCCATACCTACGAACACTGATTGCCACCTGATTAAGTGCTGATTGGATGGCTTAAATATCTTCGCACAGTAAGACAATATCATCATGGTTGAAGATCGGAAATTCTTTCTCTAGGAAATAGTTCCACACCATCATTACTTATCTTCACTAGAGATGTTTCCAGAATGTCATCGATAATGAAGTTGAGGATGAATAAAGAGATTGAGCAACCCTCCTTAATGTAACTGCTTGAACAGCAGAAGTGGTCGCATGCTCCCACTCTGGCTGAGGTGTTTGTTCGTATAGCGTTCAACATGTTAATCAACTTCTCATGTACAGCCTTCTTTAACAGACAATTCCAGAGTGCTATTCTGTTTAACGAATCAGTGGAGAGACTGGTATCAAAAAACAAAATGGTTGTTGGCCTGTAATCAGCATAGCTGTGCTTTCACATTTGGTAGGGGATGTATGTATAACCAATGAATTCACGACCAGAATGAACTCCAGACTACTCCTTGCAAGTCAATGTTTCATGGGTCTTGGACGATCTGTGAACTATAAGGGGAGCAAATAAATAGGATGGAATCGAATTTAGAATTGTTTTCCGACAGTTGTTGTATAAGTGATGTTCGTCCTCTTTAAAGATATGAACGACTCTTTCCTCGTTCCACGATATTTGAACAGTCTATTTACCAAACATCTGTGGACGACTTGGTCAGTTCCACAACCAGGAAGTGTCCATCTTTCTTAGAAAGAGTTGGAGGGGAATCATTTGGTCTGATGTTTTGTGGCGTCTCAGGAGTTGGAGTTCCCCACGGACTTTGGTCTCGCCAGGTGTATCAGTCAACACTGACTAGAAAGGATAGGACGGTCCGACTGATTTTGTAAGGGCAGGAGATCAGGTGAGTTGTTCGTCGAGGAACTCTGCCCATTTTCTAGGATGTCGTTGCTTGTTATTTATCGGTGCTTCATCAGTTTCACAGATTGTTTTACTCAAAGTAGATTTCTTGTAGGCAGTGACCTGAGTGAGTTGGCTGCTGCTTCCAACTCGTTAGCACGCTTCTACTGTAATCAACGAAAACTCAGGTGGGGAAAACAATACTACACTACCACCAGGTTTCTTGATCCTTACGCAAGCTTTGCATAATTTCTGCAATATTGTGCAAACGTTGGGGCAGGTCAGTTTGAATGGCACACATGATTTCAGAAATGCTAGTTTAGGATTCGTATTTGGTGGTGTCATTCAACTTTTGACCATTCAGTGACTTGAGATCGTTTAGGTGGGATGGAATTTCCACCATAGATAAGCCTCTGTATGAGTTGAAGAACAATAACTTATACAAAATGTAAATAGAAAAGAATAGACAGGTGACGCAATGTAAAATCGAGATGAATGTCACCGAATAATTGTTTATGGAATTTATGGGAATGAGAATGAAGCGAAAATAAATTCCGGTTGTAGTTGTCATTTGATTTGTGAGGGTTAGGATACTGCATGGGTGCCCAGCAGATTGTTCTCTTAGAGGGCTACTCCACAAACCTTCGATCTAGAGGTCTAGTCCAGAAGGCAGTGGAGCAACGTTAGGAGGTGCGGTCCCATGGTAGCTGATGGCCAAGAATAGGTCCATAAGGCATCTGTTGCCTCAGAGTCCTGGAGTCTATGTGGGCCATTGATTTGGAATCGATGTTTTCCAACTTCCTTCGTACTCACCAGCCCGGTTCAAGCTCTGGAAATTCGCGTTTCACCCTCTTAATTTAGTAAATAACACCCCGTTATTTCCCTGTTGGTGGCTATATATACGTGGCCATATGAGATCATTTTGAGAAGGGGAGCGGACTCTCCCCACTCTCGGCTGTATTATGGTAATTGGGGGATTTCCGTTCATTGATGTCTAAGGAACTCCAGTAAGTCGTAACATCGTATTACTTAATAGTATTTCGATTGTATTCAATTCGTTGATGAATACCACCTACCACTAATTTCTATCATTGATATAGTTATTGTTTTATGTAATTTTAATTCACATTGCTTTACAGTCATTTGTCAGCATCCTTTTGTATGTCTTCTTATTAGCGGTTAGATTTTTCTTCGTATTGTTTATACGTATATGTGAATGACTAGTTAATAAATAATTATGTTGACACCATCCGAGCATGTGAAAATTGTGTTATTTCGTAAGCGAAAATTCCAGCTTTATGTAAGCATGCATGATTAAACTGATATTATTGTAGTTAAATATCCAATCTATCCACCTAATCATTGTAGTTGTCTTATTCTTTTCTGCTCAATACCATCCCCAGTGTTATCAAAGAAAATCCTCACGTACACAGCTAGGATGATTTTTACGTATTATTAATTAATTCACCTCTATCGTTTGTATCATTCACAACTACCAACATTGCTTCTTTATTTCAGGCTTTGATATTAACTTTTATAAAATGAGCGGTAGTGGGACTGGAGGTGGTGGGGGTGGTGGCAGTAGTGGTGGAGGTTCTGGTCGTGCACACTTTCGTAGTCAGTTAGGCTGTTGTATATGTGGAACAAAGTCATCATCCTCTCGTTTTACCTCTAGTCAACGATACGCTGAGCATTTTGGTGCATGTTTTGGTCCACAGGGGACTACACGTTCAGGAGATTTATGCAATGCATGCGTTCTTTGTGTTAAACGTTGGCTTCAACGGGGTAGACAACCGAACTTCTTTGTACAGGTTAGTATATTGCTTATTTTTCTGTAGAATGTTACTCGCAAAGTCATCTATTTCTTCCAATTTTAGAAGTAGTATGTTCTTCATTTGTTGTATTGTTAGGTGTAAATTTAACTCACTTATTGTCACCTATTTTTGGGTTCAATTGTGTTTAGTTCACATCTCCTTTACTTATTTCAATAAATTCATATATAATAATGTTGATAATAACGATTTCTCCTATAATTGTTAAGTCTATTCTTCCTGTAGCATTATATTTCTGTTTTTTTGTTTTAATATAATATTTCAGTCAATCTCTTTTGTAATTACTCTCTGTTAGTAATAATTCTTATGTCCATAGTTTTTTACAGTTTATTTCTTAATCAGACTTTAAACTTCAATAAATTTTTCAGTGGTTCCTGAGATAAATCTCGCGAATGTTCAGTTTCCTGCATATCCGTTTGTGCAGTATCGTATTATGGTTGAGAATGTTATATCACATCACCAACCCTTTCAGCTTATTTTATGAGGATAAGGATAGATAAATTGTAGCTGGCAATAGAAATTAGGACAAGCATTTTATCTTATCTGGGACACGCCAACTAAATGTACCTGCATCTTAGTATTGATGCTCACAATGAGGTTCGAACACAATACCTTCCCTTCAAAACTGTTTGAGTTCAGATAGGCACTCCTATATGAACTGGATATGGTATTTATATTATTATTATTAGAAATTTATGGGGATTTTTGTCTATATTTAGACGTATAGTTTCACAGTAGTTCGGCACCGAGTTAATATAAAGCCGAGTGACTTCTATTGTTATTGCTTACGCTTATAAATAAAAAGAAAGCATACAAACTCAGGTCGATATAGGTTTAATAATAAATTAGCATAAAAATCTGGTCGTGTATTAATAAAAAGATCTTTTAAACCTGTCTCTCCGTAGGTGATAGAGTACTAGCTGTTCATGAGTTAAAATATTTCATGTAAATGTATCTGTGTATGCATATAATGCTTTACTCTTCTTTCTATGCATTTCTATATGGATAATTTATATTATATGGTAAAGTGTTTACTTGCTTTTAAAAAAAATCTTGAATTAAAGGTAACAAAATTATTTATACATTACAAAATAAAATAAACATTTACATTACTAGTTTTTTTTGGAAATCCCTGATTAGTTTAATTTTAATCACAATGTAATTACCTGTAAGACCATTGGAACAGACAATAAATTATCATTTGATTCACTTTTGTATTTTATTTTGCCTTGCAGGACTAGAACTCATATTCATTGTATAAAAATATATCATATATTGACAATTATGATACTTTAAATAGGTAACCATGTAGTTTAGATTATAATTTCTTGTTATTAATGCATTATCAGCTGAATCCACTTACATTTCAGTATTCTTGTTCTTGTTGGGATGTCAGTTCGAATATAGTTGTCATAAAAGATTCGGGAAGAGAATTATTTTTTTGTTTACTCGATAGTAGCAATAATGGATGCTTATCGATAGGTTTTAGTTGGTATTTATTCACACTTATACTGTTTTTTATTAGATAAAAAAGTTCTTTAACAGTCCTTTCTGTTGTAATTAGTAAGTACCATGACGTAATTTTATTACTTTTTCAGGTTCTTGACAGTAAGAAAGGTCCTGGACCGAAACATATGAAAGAGATTACTAAACGAGCTCGTCGTCGGGAAGCCAAACAACAAGCGGCTGCTGCTATCGCTTCATCTGTAAGTAAAGAGCAGAAATCTGTAAAATCTGCTTCGATTACTACCACTACCCATACTCCTACTACACGTTCGTCTTGTGGAAATGGTCATCATTGTTTCAATAGCAGTTCCGGCTCACGTGGCAATCTTCATTACACACAAACAAATCCAAAACCGGAGCATTATTCGCATACATCACCTAGTTGTGTTCGTGTTCAGTCGAATATGTTTTCCCAGCAATCTTATATGGGAGGTACGACACGATCAAGTGCACAACACTCTCAGGCATTATCAAATGGATTAAGGTGTTCTTCGCATAACAATAGCAACAATAATCGTAATAGTAATTCCCACTGTTATAATCGATCATTAAATCATAATAATGATAAAAATGACACTTTAGAACATGTATGCTGTTGTTGTACAATTTTGGATAAGAAAGAATATTTATCGACATTATCTCATCCACAAGGTGCTACACGAACTCGTGCAGCTGCTGCTAGGCAATTAGAAGCAGCCAGTAAGTTTATTTTTATTTTTTGTACGTAATGGGTTTTTACTGCATTAAGCATTTAAAACGTTTTCTTGATACAAATGTTATATAATCGTCATCTGTGGTGGGAGGTGATCTTCAGTAACAATCTAAAAGTATTCCGCTGAAGGTGTATTTATTTTTATCGTCAGTTTCGTTCTTTTTTTCGAATGATATATATTCCACTTTTGTATATTGTAACTCGTGTCTTAATACACCGATCTTGAAATATGGTGATCTCAGTTGATGTAATTCTATGCCAGATTTAACATTGTTTATGAGTGATCCTGAAAATACCTAATTCTTTCTATGCTTGGTTTGGAAATCGTCAATTTCAGATAAAGTCATATTGCTTTATTGGAGTAACTCAATTTTATGAACAATAGGAAGATAAAAATCTGAGTCAGTAGCTATGTACTAGTGTAAACGATCCTACTGCTCCACTGTTGATACAAGTAAGAAGTAAATGTTTCAGCCGAACAATTTTTAAAACTAGTTAAGAATTAAAACAACTTCTTTACATATGCTTAAATAAATTTTTGTTATTATATTACTAGGATTATAGCTGTCAACAATCGATTCTCATCACGTCTTCTTTTAAAGCTACATTACTTGCGGAGAAGTGTAAAGATTTGATATTGTTTTAATGGGTTAGAATTATTTCTTCCGTTTAAAAGATTTTCACCATAAATTGACATCATTTAAAGAAGCAATAAGAAAAGACTCTCAAGCTGAATTACTTTTTGAGAATTTTGATCAATAGATATTAAACCATTTATCAAATAAGTTGAAATTCTGTATTTAGGTTTCGTGTCTGTGTTGGCACTTGTCGTAAAAGCTTATCTGCAATTTTGAGGGGATTCAAACAGGTGTCCTGCAATAAAAGTTAAATATTTACACTGATTACTCCCAGGATAGTGACTGATATCATACTCAAAATAGCTAATGCGTCGAAGAAAATTGGAATCCAACGAGTAGTGTAAGTTCCCTTAAGATTATAGGCCAGCCTTGCTGCTAAATGCCGGCTATCATGGAACCTAGGTCCGATTGTTTGCAATCACTTAACTTCAAAGTATAGTGAATTTAATTTTAGTCACTTACACCATTAATCATGTCTTAGTTTGATTGATTGATTTCGACCAACACAAAGGACTGAACAGGTATGGCACATTACTACTAATCAGTTCAGATTCAGTATAAATTTTGTATTCACTGGAATATAGTGTTGTGGTGTTCCAGCCATGAGGATGGTCAAGCCTGATTGAGGAAAGCCTACTGTCTTTGTTGGCAAGGAAACTATCATTTTTGAGGTACACAAGCCTACTACGTGGACTTTTTGTGGGGAAGTAGTTAGAAACCCCCTGGGTCTTGATGCGCAGGCGTCGTCTGAAGCTAGTATATATTACATGCATACTAATAATACATAGGTTTTCACCTATGTATCCCATGGCATACAGATAGGCAAAGTTGTCCGTTTGGGAGGATTGACTTCACCATTCTGTTAACTCGTATTTGCTACGTCTTATACGTTATAAGCACACCAGAGGTATATAAGCTCGCGCTCATGAGCATCGTAGCATACACAGGTATGAGCTCTCTTAATGAAGTGCTGGTGGTCACCGCTTCTCTCACTCGTATTTGATACAACTTAATCAGAATACTGACTTCTATTACCCCATCTCTGTGCTAAACCAATGATTCGTCAAATCAGGGCGAAAACATATTGACACACCACACTTCCCTGAAATTCTGATTAGAAATCCTGACTAATGAATCTCACTTATATAGTGTGTAAAACAGTTACCCACTGATAGCAACCAGAAAGGTAGCGCTATATCATAAATTGATTGAATTAAAAAATTTGAATCATTAGATACAATTCATTGGTTTAAAGCCTCGTTTCAAAATTTCAAGGTTTAAGGTTCAATCTGTTTTGACGATGTAAACGGACAACACTGTTGATAAGACCTAACCATAGACAAGCTTCCTTTTAGGATGATTATGCTAGTATATTAAAAGAGTTAATCATGTTATGTAATATTGATTTGTTTTTTTTATTTCAGTAAACATTTTATACATGTTTCTTTTTTCTTTTTAAATTTTGACTAAGTAATAAAATAATGTTGTTTTATACATTTTTAGAGGTAAAAATAATAGTTGTACTGTTTTATTTCCCATGGTAATATTCGTAATCTGATCTAATTTTTATTGGGTTAACCATCTTTATTAATGAATAATTTAATGAGGCCATAATTTCAATTGTGTATTCTGACAATATTTTTCAAATTAAGATTAGTACTATTGTTTTTCTATTTCTTACATCTTTTCAATATAATAATATCAATTATTTCAATAAATGATAAGGAACTTGATCATTCTTAAGATATCTATACCATTCAGTTAGTCAAGTTTTATCTTCTAGCCTCTTTGACGCGTTAAGCTATTAAATGTAGGAGTTGGATGGAGATCAAGTTCGTTTGCATTTGGATATGATATCAGTCAACGAGATAATAGACTGTTGAAGTGAGCTGCTTTGGAAGAAGTAATCTTCTCGGTTGAAGTCAAGAAGCTAGTCCGAATCTGTTTCAATTCAAATGGTTTAAATAGGTCATAGTATGCTATATGCTACTTACACAGACAGGTATAAGTAGTATGTATCAGGCATGTGAATTAGAATTCTTACTGACATTAGAGGAAAATTAAGAGAAGATGAGAGAAAACTGAAGGCAATCAAAATAAAAACACAAATGAAGGAACACTGAAGTCTGTAAAATACAATTCGAAGATGTGCAAATGATATATTTAGTGTATAATTTTCATATTTTATTAAGCCACTGTGTGATTTGCCATTAAACAATAAATAGATTATCCCCACCAAATCTTCGTTCACTATAATAACAATGCAAATTTTTTCATGCTTCATTCTCTTTAAAATCTTAATTGTTAATATTGCTTCATACAGTTTATTCATCGATTCTGTTCATCAGTTGGTAACCATATTCCCCATGTTTAGCTTTCTTCTATTAGTTCAGTATTGTTTTGATTTCTTCGATTTTTGACCTTAGAGTACGGCAATTCAAGATGATGTAGATGTGTACCAAGCCTTTCATTGTTGATAGTTGTGTCATTATAAACTCATTTGCACTTTACTGAAATTCATTACTGATAACTTAGTAAAGATTGACAATATAATCATCCTTTTGCAAACTTTCTATATTTGAACTGAAGTGGATTAGTTTAGCTTGAAAATAAGTAATAACTGTTATGTAATTAGTTATATTATTATTATTATTATTATTATTATTATTATTATTATTATTATTATTATTATTATTATTATTAATGGATATTTACTTTTAGTTAAAATCATTGATGAAGCAAGACGAGAGAACTGTTAGTCAATAAATATCTGTCGGTTGATAGATACGTAACCATATTACTTGGAAAAAACAAACAAACAATATATATGGTCAATCACTATTTCACTTTATTTCATTTAACCAACTTTTTGCAACTCATTTGTTTTTATTCATGATAAATGTTACACATCGGTATATTCTTTATTGCATACGTATATACAAAACGATTTATTAGCCGTGTTTAGATCTTTGTTTGATAAACGAAACATTTGTACTGTTTACGTTCTTTAGCTCATTCAATACTCAACTGACATGTAGATTTTATTTAAAGGATGGTTGTTTGATAGTATAGGTTGTTATTTTCTTTGTCGACTCAAGAGTTGATTAAAATAACTTTATATTATACTTGAATCAACTAAACTATTAACTACAAGTTTGTGCATTTATTTTATTGTTATATGGACTATTAAGTACACTAACTGATGGTCTTTAAAAAAGCAGCATTCTAACAACACTATCAGGTAAGATTAAAAGATAGGTAGGTACTGATTGTCTACAAATGCTCATCATACATAGAATATGAGACTGACCTGAGTTGAGTCAACTGAAATGTCTGTTCAACTGATCCCTGCTTTTGTGGTGTAACAGCTTGACCTGGTACTTATTGGTCCCACATTTTATTTTGACTTTAATTAACCCATCTACTTTTTATGATAAAAGGATGGTCAAAAAATCTTCATTTTCTATATCACTTATCTGCTGTCCATATTTTCTAATTGTACTACTAAATATATCAGGAAACGTCTATCCTAGTAGACTAATTATGTTTAATAGTAATATTTTCCGTTAAATGGTAATAGATATTTTTCACAGCAACAATTAGTCTTTTAGCTTCTATGAAAATTAATCTTATCAGTGTAGCATTTGTTAAATAATTGCAATAATAAGAAATTATGCGTTTCTCATGTTTATGTTAGCAGGATCAATAATATACATTAGACTAAAGTTTTAATGAACTTAGGAAGCCCATTCATTTGAGTTTGAGATTCTGTAACAATCCGCATTCATGGTCACACACTTAATCTATCTCATGATAACGATATTATTAGATTACTACCTAATGGCCTTCATTTTCAACTTCATTCACTTAACTACATAACTCAGTCTTCAAATATAATTGATTAGTTACTGTCTCCCGCCACAGTTCATCGCCTCTTTGTAGAAAAACTCACCAATACGCTCATGGTTATAACAATCATTGCTTTTTTTAGTGGTTTCTTTGATAAGCCAGCAACACAACAACAGGACAAACTAAACTCTTCCACTGCGCCTCACCCTTGCTAATTAGAGGGAGAAAACCAGATCCAGTCGATGAAAAAGTATATTCTACAAGCAGTCCGAAACCATGAACAGAGAAACACACAACTCATGAATATATATACAATACAAAAATGTCCTTGGGAAACGTCACGAAAAGTGTACTGAAACAGGTAATGAACCAATGACATTTAGGATCCTCCTAAGTGGGAAATACAAACTGAAGGTAAAAGTGGTCGCTTCTGGCGCGAAAATGAGAAATTCGAATTTTCAAAAATGAAACATTTACCAAGTGTTTTTGAGGATTCAACATCTATAGCACTACCGAAAACCAGTACACTCGGATCTCTATATCAAATTCAATTCGTCATATCCATTCAGTACAGAAATCTTTCTAAATGAGCAAGCAAGATTATTACATCTGGAGAGGATAAACAAAAATAACGAAAGGATTTAATTGAGATCTTACAACTTAACAATTTCCTTATGAAATTTACAAAAAATCCAATAAAACGAGACGACTTACTTTTAGATAATAGTTCGAATGAAATAGCATGAATTGGCACTTCAGTTTTACCATACTGCATTGATACATCAAATAACTCTAAAGAGTCTTAAAACAACCAGCACCCTTCAAAATGTCTTAGTTCATATAAAGGATACGATCCCCTTTATGTCAGCACAGAATTGCGTCTACAAGGAAGGGCGTGAAGTTGTAGTTTTCCGTATATCGCTAAATCCCACTACCCTCTATATTATTATTATTATTATTATTATTATTATTATTATTATTATTATTATTAGCTTTATTCAATATTATAATTTTGGTACAATATAGAATTCTCAGCGCAAAGTATTTCAACAAGTTTCCGTTTCTTTCTTCTTGGTCGGTCCTGGCAATAAATATTTCGAGATCGCCAGTTAGATGTTAGCAGTCCAGTAAATAAACATCTGAATGATGTGCATTCTTTTCGTTGTATATTGCCAGCAATCGCATTGTCTCTTATTGAGCTTTTTGTAACTTTGACAATGAAAGGTTGTACACTTTTCAGAAACGCAGTAGAATAGGTAATGCGATTAATAAACATAATGATATATTAAAACAAACAACAATAGATAACTTGTTGAAATATCTAGATGGCAGGAACAGGTAGCCCAGATGCTCAAGCAGGCCGCCCTTATATATAAAAGAAAGCTTAATTATCCATCTGACTTAGTCTATCTATCTGAGATAGTATATGTGGTTCTACTCATATCTCACACTATTATCATATGTGCATATTCAACTCGATCCTTTCACATTAAAAATGTCAATTTTCATCCATCAAAACATACACAAATGTATCGCACACAAATCACATTGACTGGATTGGCATGACATTGACTCGGTCAGACCAGTTTTTTTGACTGTTCGCACTCAATATTTTTTGTATTGTTCCTTTGTGCTATTTAAACTTGGGTCAATGTAATTTGTTTATTTATTCTCTGAAGAAGTGGTCTACACTGAATCAGGAAATGTCATTTTTCTATACATTGGAATATTAAAAATATATTATTTTTATTAATTACATCAATACTGTTTATTTTCTTTGTCTACTCGTGTTTGTTTATGTTTCATCATTTCATAGGTGCTGCTGCCGCTTTTGCTCGAAATACTGCCGGTGTCTTATCTACTTCATTACCATCGTGTAATAGTCATCATCGTCATAGTAGTAGTAACTTGGTGCTTCATTCAGAAAACATAAAAATGACTACATCATCAGATTCCAGTGAAAGTGATCCTAATAATAGTTATGATATTAACCAACAAACATGTTGTTCCGAAACTGCAACATCAGCTTCAAGTTGTTCTAGTTGTTGCGCCTGTGGTGGAGGTGGCCTAAGTTGCTGCAGTGGAAGCACAAGCGGGTTCGGGTCGAATTCTTCAGACCTGTCACTTACCAGTAGTGTTAATTATCCCGGAATGAAATGTAAGTTATGCTTCGATATATGTATTTATGTATGAGCGACAATGCCAAGATGTTTTGGATGTGTTTCTCTCCCTCTAAATGCAAACTGTTGCTTCAGGACTGGCCTGCGTCAATACTTGAACTACAGATAGGGGGGAGAAGTAGTCGAGCGCGTCGACAACTTCACTCATCTTGAGAGTGTGATCAGTCCTAGTGGGTTTGTGTTTGACGAAATCTCTACACAGATTCAAGAGCTCGTTTGACCTTTGCCAACTTACTTTGTTACTGACAGAATGTTCGAAATAGACATATGAGATAACATAGTTAGGGTAATACGTATAACAATTTGTTGCTAAATTCGAAGAATTACAGTATTTGTCAGAAGTAGACTTCATTAGACGTTAAGAAAACTACCTTTTTGATTCTTGATTGAGATCATGAATCGATTGATGTTAGAACATCATTGAAAACCTGGAAGCACTAGACGGCCGTTTTTTCCTTCTGTAAGACTCCTCAACAGTGCGATCCATGATCCCGCGTGGGAAGAGGAACAATTGGCGATTCAAATTTATTTCACACTATTAATAACGTTATTCCCCCTTTCAACACTCTTCTTTATTATTAATGCACTATTATTAGTGTGTGTTGACGATTATTGCACGGTGATTGTAATTCCTGACCCCCTCTCTGAAGTAGTATAAAGTGGTTTTATTGAATTTTATTTTGATGAAAAAATTCCGTCAGATGGTTCTATCATCATTTATTATAAAATTTTAACTTCTGAAAAAATTAGACATCAATTCTATTCAACTGCTCTGTTATACTTGTGTCTGTGAATAGTTTTTGAAATAAAAAAATTTATTTAATTTTTTGCTCGATCACATAGAAATGGAAATGAATTTGTTAGTTATCATGACAAGAGAAAGACCATATTTATTATTAAAAGTAAATTGAGAATAACTAATAATAAGGGATTATTGAACATGAAAGCTAATAGAATGTTTAATCCACAAGTAGTAAACTGATATTTATTTTAGTATTCCAATAAGTTATTTTAATATATAGTTTGACCTTATAATAATCGTTATATATGCGTGCAATTATATAAATAAATTGTAGTGATATAAAACAATGAATAAGGTATATATTAATCACTCGAAACGTCAAGATTCGATGAATAAATAAGCGTTTATAGTTGTGTTTTTTCACATTAATAATAATAATTTCAGAGGAAGAAGCAAATACTATTTATGCTTGGCTGATTTTGCAGACAATAATTCTTAATATGAAAGAATTATTTTATTTCGCTTTGGAAACGATATCGATAATACACGCAATATTATATTCTTAAACACTATAGTGTACAGTCAAACGAGTAGTTGTTGCGTAACTTTTCAAATCCATCGAAATTAGAAATTGTTCCCAAGTATATACACATAGTTGAACAGTATATAATTATAATAAGATAATTTCTCTATGTATACAATAATATCAATCAGTTATTGTGGTTGGGAATTGCACGGTAATTGTTACTTTTTTTTACGTAATGTCAATAGCAAATATTTTGTAAATATGCAGTAAAACAAAATCACTATCTTAATTTTTGAATTTAATTTCTAAATGACAACGCAAATGTGATTAATATTTGAAATATAGAGAATTGAAGTTGGCAAAATCATTACTATTAACTGTACACCATCTAGTTGATCTTAAAGTAACTTATCCAACATATTAGTAACATATAGTGTACTTCACGTCTGGATTTATTGGTTAAGTATATTAGAAGGATACTAATGAATCCTATGGGTGGCCTGCTTGAGCATCTGGGCTACCTGTTCCTGCCATCTAGATATTTCAACAAGTTATCTATTGTTGTTTGTTTTAATATATCATTATGTTTATTAATCGCATTACCTATTCTACTGCGTTTCTGAAAAGTGTACAACCTTTCATTGTCAAAGTTACAAAAAGCTCAATAAGAGACAATGCGATTGCTGGCAATATACAACGAAAAGAATGCACATCATTCAGATGTTCATTTACTGGACTGCTAACATCTAACTGGCGATCTCGAAATATTTATTGCCAGGACCGACCAAGAAGAAAGAAACGGAAACTTGTTGAAATACTTTGCGCTGAGAATTCTATATTGTACCAAAATTATAATATTGAATAAAGCTAATAATAATAATAATAATAATAATAATAATAATAATAATAATAATAATAATAGTTGTAATATTAAACCCGAAACAGGTAAATGTTACAATAATAACCATTTTACAGGCTTATTTCTGACATAATTTCTTGGTCAATCACACTCTTTAATGCGAATAAGGTCATTTGTATCTATATCAATGTTGAATTTTTATATAATAAATAAAGTCTTATATATATATATATATATATATATATATATATATATATATATATATATATATATATATATATATATATATATATATACTTTTTATTTGTTACATAGTCTTGCTTCCTGTGTTTTAGGATTTATCAATGTTTCCCTTATACTGATTGGTTAAGTTACGGTTTTATGATTAATGTTTCCACCTTCTTTCTATTCAAGAGTGAAAAACTTCTGGAGATTAGGAAGAGGGTAGGAAGTCTGTGTGTTCGTGTTCAAGTAGAAGACTTACTAAGTAGCATTAAGAGTGGTATCTCCTCTTCATTTCTTATTAGTTTTAGCTTTTACGTTAATACTTCAAAATGTTTCACTCGATCAACTCAAAATTGATTCAAGTAACCAAACTTTATCAATTTATCTAACTATTCATTTCATTCGGTACCATTGTAGTTGTACAGTGTAGTATCCTAATTATTCTGCACTCCTTAATTCCATCAAATAATAAATGTAATTATATATGCGACTTTTTACTACAGAGAATACTCACTTTTGTATTGTATATTTGTTTTCTGCAACCTTTTATTTGTTTTTTCTTGTCTTTTATATCCATAACACATGCTTGAATGTGCATACAAATCCACATATGTTTAGCTAATACATACCACAATAAAAAACAACACAATTATTCAAACTGTACATGTCATGATAATAAAACTGTTGAAATAAGTAATTGTTCAATAGATTACAATTGTTCCACTCAACGATCCTACTGTCATCATCAATCTCGACGTGCTAATGAATTTAGATATCCTCAATTACCACAAACTGGCCAAATCAATATAAATAGTAATGGCACATGCGGTAACAATAATAGTAACGAAGATGAAAAGGGTGCATCTATATTTATAAATGGTAATGCTGGAAATTTTCAGAACTCTAATGATACTCAACAAACATCTTATGTTGCATCGGGACAAAATGATTCGATTGCAAATACCAATGTAGCCACAACATCATTAACAACAACAACCATTCCTACCCGACGTTATAACCGTAGAGTTGTCCTACCTCCAGTAAGAATGACCCATAACCCCGAAGTGGATTCTTTATTACGTGAAATCATGGAAAGGTAATTTTGCACGATAATAATAATAATTTAAAGATGTAGTTTAATGACTCAAATTTTTTTCACCATCATCTTGTGGTCACAAATATTTTTTAGAGATGTAACGTCAGAATATTCCATCTACGGTGTGCTTAGATGGAATTACTCATAGGGAGGATGTTACAATAGTATTGCTATCATGTGCACTGAATGCACATTGAATTGATTATTTTTAACGTTTTTACGTTGAGAAGTCTGTATTAAAGATATTGAGTTATTATATTGGTGTAGAAATGTTGGATACACTTTGTTTTCCCCACTTCATTTTTTTCATAATTCAGTCTAACCCCGTTATTATTTAAAGAATTGTATATTCACCTCAGAAGCATATACTGTAGATGAATTCGTACAGATCTATTGTTCATTTACCGAAAGCTAATTAGATAGGATGGTCGTAAACTCTGCAAGTAAATATTTCAGTCTTTTACTTTAACCGCAAAATCACTTCTCGTATTCTCTGTAGTATGAATCGTACATAACTCAGGCATTCATGAGCTTTTTTAGTTCATTTTCTAATCTATAAATCATTGTTTTCAATTATTTGCCTTATCATATGGAATTCACAGGGTAACATCAACTGAAGGACGCTTGTAAGACAGGAAACACAGGATAACTGTTTTGTCCAGCTGATTTTAGCTTCGTATAACAGAAAATCTTCACTTAAACCAGCTCAATTAATAGTAATCGTGTTCTATTTTTGTTAAGACTTTAAATTATTTGATATCTATAAAAATAATTTACCGACCAGAATCCAGGTTATATCTGTCTAGACCGCATGTGCTATTTCGTCTATCGATTAGGGTCCTAAGCTTCGACTAGTTATGCGCGTCAACTGCCAAGATTAAATTTAAGGTGTGACCCAAATATTCTTGACGCTTATTGATCCGCCGAAAAACTCATTCCTCTGTCCCCCAGTCTTAAGTCTAAATAAGAGAACACGGCACGAAGGCTTTTATTATTTGTATTTCAAGTACCCGGTCTTTTTATCTCAAGCACTCATTAGTTTATATGCATACTCTTTTTTATGTGTTTGAGATACATTGACTGAGTGAGAGTCTGTTCAAACCTCTTGGCATCCCATTTACCAACTGTGCAAACATTACGATGATTTCTTCTTACATTCGTTGTATTTTAACTAACTAGTTACATATGTTGGTCATAAGATGTACTCATACGCTTTCGTAGAAAGGTTACAGGCCGTCACAAAGCTAACTTCGTTCTGAGCTCTTGTAGTAGTTGATAAATCATACTAGAATTAATACATTAGGTATATATTTGGTGAAAATTTCTATATAACAGGGTTTGTTTCGGCACGGTTTTTTTTTCTAGAAATTCTTAACACATTGAACTAGTAGTAATTATTGTCGTATTTGTCTAGTCCACAGTTTTGATCGAATTTTATCGAATATGTCCACAAATCTTAGTGCCTTGGTATGGTATTATTTGTTTGAATCACTTAATTTGGTTATCATTCAGTGATTGACTAGTGTAAATTTCTATTACACCATGCAAATCAGACATAAACCAAGTGATAAGTTGGAGTTACTTACTGACACACCCTATTGTCCAGGATTTAGCTTCACTTTCTAGGGCATATTCCATTCGTATGGCTTTATTTTTTGAAGGAGAAAGATATATCTTTATCCATCGGTTGTACTTATATTCTTGATTCAGTTAGTCAATAAAATCTGTTGTTTCTCCTAATCAAGTGCCTGTTTTGGATAAACTCATATGAAGCTTCTGTATCGACGTCAGACTAGAGCGATCACACAACAAAACGACATCTCACTTCTACAGGAGGCTAATCGGGTTTTTTTTTAAATAAATCTGCAAAAAATGTCTGGAATTAAGTGCTTATTGCCTCCAACCAACGTGAGATTTCTTTACTACAAGCAAAATATATGACATGGGATAAAGCGATTATTATCATGATTATGAATCTAGGAAATAAAATTTTGTTGTAAATAATGTTTATATCCTTGAATCTACTTTATGTGTTCCTTAACTGAGTCACTAGGTTAGATTACACTAATCCGAATATACTTTTCTCTTATAAACATAGATCAACAACTTTAGGTATAACTAATAGTTTGTGCATAGGCAAGTGAAGAGTGATAGAAAAGAAAGATCAAAACAACAATAATATGAATTCAGTACTTAAATGATATCTGGAAACAAATAAGACAGATTATGTAATAATTATAGAAGTTATTGAGAATTAAAATAAGATTCAAATCACTTGAAAATAGATATAAATGACAGTTATGAGTTAAAAATTGTCTAGAATTAGAAATTGACAAGACGGGTTACATAGTAGCTGAAAAGGATTTGAAGAGTTTGCATAAGTTCGAAGAATTAAGTGAATGAAAACCGATGCATGAAAGGATGATTTCAGTGTACATAAAATAAGAATTAGTTTGTCGAAGACTACATAACAAAATAAGCACAAATAAAATAACAATAATGACTAACATAAATAATAATTTACCAAGTTAGTGATAAGTTGATTACTGTCTCTTTCTAGACACATAAATCATGTTGGAGTGTCTGTATTGCTTCTGCTTCGGCAAACCGGATAGATATTGTGATTTTTATTTGGTAATAATGTTGAAGGATATATATATATATATATATATATATATATATATATATATATATATATATATATATAATCATTATTGATAAACCTTATTATTTCTAAATCTTTCCATCATCAGTGCCAATTATGTCACATTATATCATACTTCAATGTTACGTATTATTACATATTAATGGTTGCAAATGACTGATGAGAAACCACGAAATATAGTGAATTCATTTTATCCTGTCTCAATTATTATTTTGATTTTACTCAAATTCGTAAAGGGAACCAAATGTATGAAACGAAGTAGGAATACTAATTTAGGAATAACGAAATGTATATCGACAGTTCCAAAAGTTTGAACTTGAATAATTACTCTGTTACAACAAAGTATATTTCGTTCATGATTAAACGTAAGATACAAAAGGTTTTTTCTAACCATAACATAGAAACAAATATACATGGACTCAAACTTGATTGATAGGTTGCATATAATTCTTAGCAGAATAGGTTTGTGGGTAGGACTATATTTTATGTCCGACCCTTGAATGAATTTTTAAGTGACCTTGAAACTAGTAGTCAATCAGAAGAGAGTTAGTATAAAGTGAAAACATATTATAAAAAACTTATGAATTACAGCGGATATTCTTCTTTTACATGATTTAAAAACTTTTTAAGGTTAGATAAAGGTTCAGATGTTCTGAAATCATAGTGCATGGGGTTAGGGTTTAGGTTATGGTTAGGGTGCACATCTGCAAAAGCCGCAGCCAATGTTACTGGTGACTTCATAATCCAATTCGCAACAATTATCATGATTTGCCTTAGTCTGAGTCGTGATCGAGCGAAGAAAGTGCCAGTTCGAGCAGATTTTATCTTCTAACACAGTGCAACGAAATCTAATGTCATCACGGTAGTCTGCACATCGTGCTGCAGTCATTTGATTGCCGCAGTCACAGATACAGGAACTTCTTAATAGTCCCATCTGTTGTAGTCGCTCAAAAATCACCTCTTCTCTAAAATCTGCTGTAAAACGATCGAATGTGAGTGTCTCGTATTGAACTTAGCGCCGTGACCTTGAAATTCCTCAAACGCTTCTGATTGGCTCGTCCATAAATTAGAGTCTTACCGGTTTGTGGTGATTCATCACATTTTACCATAATCATTTGATGAACCACTGAAAACTGAAAAGGACTAAGCACATATTCTCTTCTAGAATTGGGCTCACTCACAACCCCTCCAATTATCGTACCCATGACTTTCATGCCTTGCCACTTGCTCCTATCTTTTAGATGAGCAATTCAAAATCAAGTAGTTTACATTTCTAAAATCAGTTGGTTTGTAATATTTTCTCATCATCAACATGGTCGAATTTTACTGGTTTTCGTCTTTGTATTCGAACTTCTAAATCTCTTGAAGGTAGCCATTAATTAGTGCCTTATTATTATTTTTATTATTATTATATGGGATTTATGGTATATAACATAATTAAAGATAAATTTTTCAATAGTTGAGATCATGAGTCAATTGAAGCTAGACCACCATGGAAAACCTGGAAGCACTGGATAGCCGTTTCGTCCTAGTGTGTGACTCCTCAGCAGTGCTCATCCACGATCCCGACCCTCCCCCGCGAGATTCTCCACAAAACTTCTTCTGATAATAAGTTTTCATTGTAAAATAAAAGAAAAGCCATTCAATTTTTTTTCTATTCCGTTAATTTAGTAAATATTATTTTTTTTAATTTCTATATCTTTTTTTCATCAAAAGAAGAGAAAAAAAGATGAGGAAAATCTTTTTTTTTAAAAATCCTGATAAACTAACTATGAAAAGAATCAGAATGAATTAATTCTCTAAAATATTTTTCACTTCAATGTTATTTGACTAGAAAGAATACTGGGTCCTTTTTTTAAAACATACAAAGTATAACATTAATTACGTCATTGTTTAATATGTTAACATGTCACTGGTTAAATTGTCCATATTGTTTTCTGTTTCAGAACTGTATGTTCTACAGTTAATTAATATGGATTGATATGTTACTACAATGAACCATTTTGATTATTTTATCCACTCGATTATCCCATATTGTTTGTGTTTTAAAAAAAATAATTATTATTCGAAAAGAGCAAGAACAATGATTTAAGCAGAATAGCATGAATTCCTTTTATTTCGTAGGTTCTCGTCAGCTGCTTACAACCTGTGATATTTAAAAAAAATCATAATTACATAATGGGTTTAAATTGCTTACAGAATATTGTAAATATATAGTATTATTATTATTATTATTATCAGCTTTATTCAATATTATAATTTTGGTACAATATAGAATTCTCAGCGCAAAGTATTTCAACAAGTTTCCGTTTCTTTCTTCTTGTTCGGTCCTGGCAATAAATATTTCGAGATCGCCAGTTAGATGTTAGCAGTCCAGTAAATGAACATCTGAATGATGTGCATTCTTTTCGTTGTATATTGCCAGCAATCGCATTGTCTCTTATTGAGCTTTTTGTAACTTTGACAATGAAAGGTTGTACACTTTTCAGAAACGCAGTAGAATAGGTAATGCGATTAATAAACATAATGATATATTAAAACAAACAACAATAGATAACTTGTTGAAATATCTAGATGGCAGGAACAGGTAGCCCAGATGCTCAAGCAGGCCGTCCAAAATGAAAGAATATTCTACAACATTAATTGTGACAACAGTTCAAAAGTCGGCTAGAAACAATCGATTACATAATGAGTAACATTGAAGGAATGTAGTGAGTAGAGTTCAGTTGAAAGATTATTAATTTGAAAGATAGTTGAAAAAATAAAATAGAGTCAATGATGTAATAAATGCAAAAGAAAAAAGAAAAAAAATTTTATAAGGTGCAGTGAAGGAATATTTGTCACCAGGGCAAGGAAAGATTAACCACCGTCTACTTTTGAATACATAGATCAGGTTTTTGACGCCTGATGGCAATGGCTTCAGCAAACTTCAGAAGATTGTAGTTTGGCTGCTTACTAATCACCCTTAAGGATTGTAAGGTGTCTACTTGACGTCCTGTATCAAGGAGATGTTTGGTGATTGCACTGTTCAGAGTCTTTCTTTCCCTTGTTCTAAGACCCATTATGTAATTATGATTTTTAAATATCACAGGTTGTAAGCAGCTGACGAGAACCTACGAAATAAAATGAATTCATGCTATTCTGCTAAAATCTTTGTTCTTGCTCTTTTCAAAATGATAAAGGGAACTATGTGTATAATATTATTATTCGATTGAATTATATTGCATGTAATATTTCATTGTGTTAGAGAGGATATGAGATTAAAAAATCACCTTTTGTTTGATAATTAATCTGACTAAAAATTCATTCATTTATTGGAATGCTTTTCGATTATCTCTAGTTAAGTCTAATGGTTTAGCACTGAAACATCTTGCTTATATCATTTTGTTAAGAATCCAAATCATCCTAACAGAATTATTTACATTGTTTAATTATTATATTTTTTCTTCATTGTTTTCAGAAATAGTCAGGCTGTAAACTTCGATTCTCGTGAAATGCATATGGCTGTTCAACAAGAATTACGACTTCGTAATCGTACCATTCATACTGCTGCTTCAGTTTCTGGTGGGTCCATTTCTTCAATTAGTTCGGCTGACGGCTCTATAGAAGCCAATGCCGGGTCCAGTAGTCAAACATCAACTAATGGTGTGAAATGCAACCATCATCATAGTTCTCCGAATCATGAACATTTGGCTAAGCGTCATTGTTCACATCATTGTTATTTCAGTTGCGAATAAAATGAAGAAAAAAGAAGATATTTTGTTTTCTCATATCTGCTTGGTCTTTAATGTACACCACTATCGTACAGCGTTATCATCTCTGTTATTAGCACAAGTATCAGTCTTAACATACATATATATAATACTCGTGTACAGGTTTGAACTGTGTACTGAGCAATGAATTGGCTGTTAAAGTTCATCTGTGTGTTGTAGAAATTTCATTTTCAATATTTTTGTTTTTAATATTTCCTTTTTAAATTATTATTTCGACTCTTGATGACATACTTTAATTCTTATTGCTTTAGAAAATATTCCTTATTCTTCGTCATTTGTATTTCTATTTTATTAAGTGTTCCTCTATTTTGCCAGTGATGCATATTAAAACGAAAGCAAAGGGAGTAACGGTGATGGCGGGCTTTAGAGACGGAAGGGAAGGGAGAAATATGAGGAATACAAATCACCGTCTAAATAGAATGTACAATCAACTTGCCTACAATCTAGAGTACGGGAAAAACATTGAGCTTTTTATGCATATATTTTTGGCGGATATTGTTTTTGTTACATATAACTTATACACTTTCCCACCATATGTAAAAAAAAAAAATAAGAGTTATTTATCAGTGACTGTTTGTCTATGTGTTTATCTTTTCCACTTACACTTCGTCTGGCTGCTAACATTACAATAATATACATTTATTCATATGTTGTTTACATTAATGTTATCTTTCTTTTTGTCGGAATAAATAATGTCTTCTCTCGTTGTATATGTCAATATATAATGTTTTATTGTTTGTGGACAGTTTGTTTTCGTTCTTTCAATGATCGATCTTTTTTTTCTTTTTTTTTTACAAAACAAATTAGTAGCATCACACAAATATCTCAACTTGTTATATTTTCTGTTCTCGTTACTTACGTTCTTTTCTTTGTTTGTCTATCTTCTTTAAACTGCTATGATGTGTACACCTATATGCACGCACATCTGGGACATCTCTAGAGATTTGCATTAATCTCATGTTACATTATTTTTTTAGTTTGTCTTTTTTTCCCGATACTCTTCTTTCTGTCAGTTATCCTCACTTTGACTATTATTATTATTATTACCAATAATAATAGTAGTAGTAGTAGCAGTAGTGGTGACTGTTGGTGTCCTATTACACTTTTGCTATTTTTAAGTGTAAAATATAATCAGCAAATTGTTATTTTTGAAATCATGTAAAAAAGGATTAATAGTCAAGCATTGAGTATTCTTTTCCTTTTTGTTGTCATTACGTTGGCTTTTTCTCCCGTATTTTACAGTTCCCATTTACCTACTTTGTTCTGTTTTAGGTGTAACTAGTTGTTTCCCTTGTGTGTTTATCTATATCTCTTGTTTACTTCTGTTATTTCCTGGAATTTCCGTCTTGCTTTCTCTTAGACCATCTATCTTAAACTCTTCTGAAAGGAAGAAATGTTCAAAAAACCTGATAATAGCTACGATTGTATGAATATACACCTTATCTATGCTATTAATTTGTTCTCAAATTCATTTGATTGATTGCGATCGTTAACCTATTTATTATCTAACGATAAGGATAAAATTTCTATACACATGTTAATGCTCACTAACTATTCAGTCTCTATGATGGTTAATTTACCATGATTAAAAGAATACCAGTAGGCTAATAATCATGAAATCAATACTGATTAGTCCCAATGTGAGAATAATTATTTATCAGTGATTGGTCATTCATAAAAGCCTTTTTTTAGTTGAGTCATTTGTATTCTTAATACTAATTTCAAGATGTTACCATATAATTTTTATTTAAACAGTCAGTCACAACCAACATTCGACACTTACATTATTGTACATCGGTTTAAGTTGCTGAATCACAGCAGCACAGCGAGATGGAATTAAAATGATGGATAGCAAACGAGTTTGAATATTGGCAATATCAATGATCAATAAACGTGCGGAACTAAACTAACCTAGCGATGTCACAACTAAGACGATAGCTCTTCCCAATTTGCTCATATACGACTAGATAATTAGACTGTTTAGGTCGTTTACAAACGATATAACAGATAGCCATGAAGCAAATCATAAGCATAATAAGGAATTCAACCTTTAGGGTCAAAAGCGATATATTAAATAAAAGTGTAAGTGGGATACCTGACAATAAATGATCTCAAGAGCTCTATGCATGCCAGATCAAGTCCATTAGTGGATAGGTTGATTATATACAACGAAAAGCAATAATAACTTCATTCATAACACCATGGAAGAAAAACAAAACAGTATAGAATTTACAGTCAATGACATTTGGAATATATATATATATATACACGGTTGTTCTATTAGTTGGTGTAACCATAAAAGTCTGGAGAACTGGTATGATGGAAAGAAAAGTCAATTTTCGATTGATTTGCTCATTATTAGTTTTATTCAACATTGATATCCGTTCTAATTCAATGTAATGATTACTCATCGTAGTATTCGGTTTTCTTTTCTCGTATGATATTTTATTCTGTATAATATGCGACATATTCTTGTATTCCATTGAAATGAACTATGCTCAGTCTGTGATTTATTATTTTTCATATATGTGATTTCATCCTAATTATTAATCGAAATGGGTGTACAATCAATATATAAATGAGTGTATTTTCTACTAGAGTTGTCGTCGTGTTTTGGGGTTATTAAATTTTCATTTATACCAGTCTTTGTGTTATTTCGCATCGTGGGAATCGCAGAGGTCCTTCGTTCCGGGTATAAGTGATAAGCATTTCCGACGTAACAATCAGCGACGACCAGATACAAAAAGTAGCATTAAAAGAGTCAAGACAATAAGCATTCAAACGACAAGTTATAACAAGAACAATCCTTCTTCAATTCTTTCATCAAACATCTACAGCTCAAATAATTATTTGGAATAAAGCAATAATTCAGAGATAACAAAAGACGATGACGATACCACATCGTACAAACTGACTCAGGTTGGAAATCTAAATTAATGGATACTTGTCTCAATTGTATTATCCCGGCTATGAGACCATGAAGTCCTAGGTTTTATCTCGTAAGGCGTTGTAGATACGTATTATTGAGAAGTAGTAAACTTGGGTGAAACAATATGATTGTTTCCAAACACTTTGCGGGGTATATTTATTTAGTCGGATGAAAATTTCTTTTCACTAGACCCAAACTAACATATCATCCCTCTTCACTTTTATTACCACTGATGGGTATGCTTAACTGCAAATGTTTAAATCTAAATCTTTCTGGGGTAAATGTAGTTCCATTAAATTTTTCGAGCTTGTTTAATGCTAGCTGAGAGCACTCGTCAGTTCACGAGAAACAATTACTGACTTTTTAAATTACATTTTGATTTGATGGTAACATCATATAATCAATACTCAGGTGTAACAGATTATCCTCAGCCCCCTGAATGCCCTGGTACGGCCGAGAGTGGGGAGAGTCCGCTCTCCCTCTCGAAATACTCTCACACGGCCACGCGTATACAGCCTCTGCCAGGGAAGTCCTACTCATTGCCTTCTCGTGGCGGGGGTGTTGTCTACGAAAATGAGAGGACGAAAAGCGAATGTCCGGCGCTTTAACCGGATTCCAAATCAATGGTGCACATGGGCTCCAGTATCCTGCGGGAACGAATGGCGTATGAACCAATCGTTGGTCACCGGCTACCATTGGACTGCATCTCCTTACGATGCTCCACTGCCTTGTGGGTTAGACCTTTAGGTCAAAGGCTCGGGGAGTGGCCCCCTAAGATAACCACCTGCTTCGGTTTGGGCACCCGGGCAGTATCACAGCCCACACACAAATTGATGAACTCTTTATGCCTATGGAAATTACCTTTCTCGCTTTGAAAAACAAACAATTGATTCAGATTATTATCATTACAATTATTGTCATTATTAATACTAATATTATTATTACTACTATTATTGTCATCATTGTTATTATTATCATTATTATTATTATTTTCCACATTATTCACCCTCTTTTATACCTATACAGCGGCTCGTCTTTGGTGGAAATCCGACTGTATCTAAACGTTCTCGAGTCACTGTCCGGTTGAAAATTGTATGTTACCAGCGAATACGAGGACTGAAGCAGATTTTCTGAAACCACGTGCACCATTCAAACTGGCTGCCTTCAACGTTCGCACATTTATGCAGGTCGGACAACAGATAGGGCTGGCTATGTCTTTGGAAAGTCTTAATATCGACGTGTGTTGTCTATCCGAGACCCGTATTCAAGACTCTGGCGAAGTACTACAAATTTGATCTCCATCTGTCGCTTCGAAAAGCTTGTTTTACGTGCGCTTATCCGGGGACCCTGTGGCATCTTCGTCTGGTCTTGCTGGCGTTGGTGTCGCACTAAGCGCTAGAGCTGAGGCAGCACTAGTCGATTGGATCCCCATTAACAGTCGGTTATGTGCTGTTAGATTAGAAAGTTCCATCAAAGTGAGAAGAAATCGGCGTGAGAAACGATGTCCTTTCGTCATCTCCGCCTATGCCCCAACAGATTGCAGCCCGGATGCAATCAAGGATGAGTTTTACCACCAGTTATCAGTTCTTCTCCAGAAAGTGCGTTCGACAGATATTGTAGTACTAGCCGGAGACTTGAATGCTCAGGTCGGGCGTCTAGGCACAGAAGAGAGTCGTTTAGGTGGCCGATGGGGACTCGTTGGTCGCAGGTCAGATAACGGGGACCGTCTACTGCAACTGTGCACAGACCACAACCTGTTTCTGGCTAGCACTAACTTTCGGCACAGTCATCGCCGATGTGCCACCTGGCGTCCTCCCTCTGCATCTCAAGCCTGGACTCAGATTGATCACATCGCGATCAGCTACCGCTGGCGTGGCTGTGTACAAGACTGCCGCTCCTTTTGGAGTACCTATCTGGACTCTGACCATGCCTTGGTCTGCGCCAATCTTGCCTTACTTTTCAGTGGACAACGAAGTGAACGCCATCAACGGATTGATGTTAGCAAGCTGGTTGCAACTTCTGTTGCAAGTAAGTATCGAACCGAGCTAGCCTCTAGGCTAGCTACCACTCCACCGAAAAGTATAGATGAGCATTGGTTGCAATTGCGTGACGCCATGAAAATGTCGGGAACAGTCAGTTGTGGGTTTGCGAAACGTCCCGCTTTTAAGCACTGGGTTTCTTCTGGTTCCTTACAACTCATTGAAGCCCGTCGGTCTACTCCGGGTGACCGTGAGTTTGACCATAAACGAAGGATGTTACGTAAGGAAATTGGGCAAAGCTTGCGTAAGGACCGAGAAGCCTGGTGGTCGGAGCGTGCTAATGAGCTGGAAGCAGCAGCTGCATCTGGTAACTACCGGAAGCTCTTCCAGCTCATCCGAGCCACTGGCAGCAAGAAGTCTGGTGTGAGTGAAACAATCTGCGAGGATGATGGGATGCCAATCACTAACATCCATCGACGTCTTGGACGATGGGCAGAATTTTTCGAAGGGCAGTTCAACTGGCCTGCTGCTCCGGTAACATCGGTCAGACTGTCCTGCCCTCCATGGCCGGTGACGACTGATCCACCAAATGAGGAGGAAGTCCGCAAGGAACTCCAACTCTTGAAGCGTTACAAATCACCTGGCCCAGATGACTTACCTCCGGCTCTTTTTAAAGATGGTGGTGACATTCTGACTAAGGAATTGACGACGTTGTTTACAAAGGTTTGGGAACTAGAGAGTGTACCAACGTCATGGAATGAGTCGATAGTTGTTCCTATCTTTAAAAAGGGTTCACGTCGTTCCTGCAACAACTATCGGGGGATAAGTTTCCTTCCGATTGCGTCCAAGCTATTGGCTTCCGTCATTCTTCGTAGGTTGTTCAAAACCCGAGGAAGATTGACTCGCGAGGAGCAGGCCGGGTTTCGTTCTGGTCGAGGATGTATTGATCATATCTTCACCCTCCGCCAAATGTTAGAACACCGCCATACTTTTCAAAGGCCAACAATCGTAGTGTTTCTTGACATCAGGGCTGCCTTCGATTCGTTGGACAGAGCTGTTCTCTGGGATTGTCTATTGAAGAAGGGTGTGCCTGAGAAGTTTATTAACATCCTAAAAGCCCTATATAAAAACACCTCAGGCAAAGTGAGGGCATACAACCACCTTTCTCCATTGTTCCATTCGAGTAGTGGGGTTAGGCAGGGTTGCCCAATCTTACCATTCCTCTTCAACTTTGCCATCGATGACATTCTGGAAACAGCTCTGATGAATGTAAGTAATGGTGGTGTGGATCTGTTGCCTGGAGAAAGACTTCTCGACCTTGAGTATGCGGACGATATTGTCTTACTGTGCGATAATGCCCAAGGCATGCCATCCGCACTTAATCAGTTGGCAATCAGTGTCCGTAGGTATGGTATGTGCTTTGCACCTTCGAAGTGCAAAGTACTTCTACAAGACTGGCAGGATTCTAATCCTGTACTCACCCTGGACGGTGAGCAGATAGACGTAGTTGAGAAGTTCGTGTATCTGGGTAGCTGCATAAGTGCTGGTGGGGGTGTGAGTGATGAGATCAATGCACGAATAGTGAAAGCCAGAGCGGCTTATGCCAATCTGAGTCATCTTTGGCGCCTTCGTGATGTTAGTCTGGCTGTAAAAGGCCGGATCTACAACGCGTCGGTGAGAGCAGTTTTGCTCTATGTTTGTGAAACCTGGCCTCTCCGAGTTGAGGACGTTAGACGACTCTCTGTGTTCGATCATCGCTGTCTCCGAAGGATTGCTGACATTCAGTGGCAACACCATGTCAGTAATGCAGAGGTTTGGCATCGTGTGTTCGGGCACAGAGATGATAACTCAATTGGTGTTACCATCTTGAGACACCGACTTCGGTGGCTTGGACATGTTCTCCGAATGTCGTCCCAGAGAATTGCACGTCGTGCATTATTTGCCGACTCTGGGACTGGTTGGAAGAAGCGGAGAGGTGGTCAGTGCATGACATGGTGTCGTGGCATGAAAGAAAGCTGCAAAGGACTGGCTTGTGTTGGTCCTTCACGACTCCCTGGCTGGGGTCCGAGAGATGGGGCTACACAGGGGCTAGAGACGTTATCAGATATGGCTCAGAATAGAAGCCAGTGGCGATCCTGCTGTAACCTTCTTTTACTTTCTTCATAAAAAGTGGTTGTGTCTTCCCTAACTGAAAGATTTCTTCTGATTGTACCTTTTCGTTCCGTCGTTACTATCACACTACCTTACTCCAATCTCTTCGTCATTGTTCTCTTTTTCTTTTGCGTTCCTTAGTTTTTTTTTCTTTTCTCTTTCTACTTCTCTTCGAATTCCCATGGTTTTGTGTGGCGCATATATATTGGCGCTCTCTTGTACCAATATTTATGTGTTCAAATAATAATAATAATACTACAGATGATTAAATATATTACATCAACATTGGTCATTCTGATCACTTTGTTTGCTGCAAAACTGGCTGTCAAATGAAGGATAGTCATGTTAGATTAGTAATTACAAATCCATCATGACTTATTCTATTTTTGCTTACAAACTATTTAATCTAGAATCTTCACTTTTTCGTAAATCCAGTTTAATTAAGAAAATAAGGTGATCTATCTAACATAAATAAACATTCAATGGTGGACTATAAAAAGTTATCTCTATCAGATGTTTTTTTGTTCAAAAAGGAAAGAAGACTATTTAGGGTGGTGAAAGTAAAATATAATTGGTCACTGGGC